CACACGCGCCTGGGCAAGCTGGCCGTGGTGGTGGCCTCCTACCGCCGCCTGGGAGCCCTGGCCGCCGCGCCCAGCCCCCTGGAGCTCTGCGACGACGCCAACCCCGTGGACAACGAGTACTTCTTCGACCGCAGCTCGCAGGCTTTCCGCTACGTCCTGCACTACTATCGCACCGGCCGCCTGCACGTCATGGAGCAGCTGTGCGCGCTCTCCTTCCTCCAGGAGATCCAGTACTGGGGCATAGACGAGCTCAGCATCGACTCCTGCTGCAGGGACAGGTACCGTGAGGGCTCGAGGGCTGGGTGGGGAGGCCGGCGCGGGAGATGGGGCTGGAACCCAGGGCTGCGGCTCGGGGGGGGGGCCCACCCCTACGGGGGGTGTGCCCACCACTGCGTCTGGGAAGGTGGGGTCGGAGTGCGGGACCAGATAGCCTCAAAGCCAACTTCAGAATGCCACTTTGTAAATCTTTCTGTCCCTTTTGTGCAAGTGAGTTGTGTCACTTTTCTGTAAAAGAAGGAATTCAACTTGCAATGACTAGTTGGTGACTGAACAAATAAATCAGAGAAGTTGTGCCTCAAAAGACACTTGTGTAAGGATAGAGATGAAGATTTTGAGTTGCAGTATTAATTAAGCCTGGAACACTAACTTGGAAAAACTTATAGAGAGAACTGTTTTCAATATAGAAGAAAGTGGATTTGTTCATTGAATGATTCTGCGGCTCTGAATGGTAGCTTTGCTGTTATCTTGCCAATATTCCCATTTCTTCGTGACTACTTTCCTTTGTGATCAAAAAGTTCCATATGGCAGACAGCTGTCCCCAATACCAGAAAATGGGAAATAAAATGCACTGCGCCAGAGTTAACTTTGTCACTCGTATATCCTCTTCCGTACACTTCTGCTAAGAAAATGTCACTTTAAAAATCATATTTCTGGGTGACAATTTGTGAAGACAGGGGAAGGACATGACCTGGGTAAAATATAGATATTTTCTACCTTTTCCTGAAATAAAAGGCGTGCTTTCCCTGTCAAGTTTAATTCTCTTCTGTTTCTGTATTTTAAAAAGTTTGACTAAACACCAAATTGTCTTTCCCAAAAGATACTTCAGAAGGAAAGAGCTGAGCGAGACTCTAGACTTTAAGAAGGACACGGATGACCAGGAAAGCCAGCATGAGAGTGAGCAGGACTTCTCACAGGGACCTTGTCCTACGGTCCGCCAGAAGCTCTGGAATATCCTGGAGAAGCCTGGGTCTTCCACAGCTGCCCGAATCTTTGGGGTCATCTCCATCATCTTCGTGGCCGTGTCCATTGTCAACATGGCCCTGATGTCCGCAGAGTTAAGCTGGCTGAACCTGCAGCTGCTGGAAATCCTGGAGTACGTGTGTATTAGCTGGTTCACCGGGGAGTTCGTCCTGCGCTTCCTGTGTGTGCGGGACAGGTGCCTCTTCCTGAGAAAGGTGCCGAACATCATAGACCTGCTTGCCATCTTGCCCTTCTATATCACGCTGCTGGTAGAAAGTTTGAGCGGCAGCCAGACCACGCAGGAGCTGGAGAACGTGGGGCGCATCGTCCAGGTTCTGAGGCTGCTGAGAGCTCTGCGCATGCTAAAGCTGGGCAGGCATTCCACAGGTATTCAGATTTCATCGATGCCTTTTGATGCAGTCAGTGGGTTAGTGATCTGACTACTCACTCATCCTTAGTAAGCACTAGTGATTTGAACATGGTTCAGGGAAAGCAACTCCAAAATGACAGCTCAAAATTACCAACTTCCATGCTTTACCCAACCAGGTCTGCTAAAAAGGTGTTAGGACACAAAACTTTTGTAAGAAAGACTTTCACATACTTTCTTTCTATAATACATGGTGGGGGGCATTTTGACCATTTATTGATTTCGATGTCTTTGGAATCCAAGGCCTAGAAGATTCACATAAATTAGCCATATTCTGCCTCTAGAAGACTCTAGACAAAATGTGCATAAAAGACATGTAAGGTGATACACATAAATGCTGTGACACACAGGGACATAAGCTAGTTTGTCATCTATATCTAAGTGCTTGATAACTGTATATTACCTGGCTAACAAGAAAATCAGCCCTCCAGTATTTTACCTGGTTCTGCAGGAAGAGAAATGACCAAGTGCTAATGGCCTTTTCACAACTGCTGAAGAAGTGGTGGGAATGTCTCTCTTTGTTAAAATGAGAAGACACTAATTAATACCTTACCCAGTATTTGAGAATTTTCTTGTTCCTAACCTGTGATGTATGAGATTTTGGAGGGAAATGCGAATTCCTTAGTTTTTTTATATGTTAAAGAGACTTTGATAATCAAAGTCCATTCCACAGATAAACATTGACCATTCCACAGATAAACATCCCCTCAACACAGCAGACACACACAGGCACACACCTAACTGTGCATAAAGATTATAGTCACCATCAATGGAAATCATACAGATGATTTCGATCTGTATCTCTGAGGTAGTGATTCTCAGTAGCTGTCCCCACAGCTACTGAATATTCTGGCGTAACATAGCAGTTACGTCTGACTTTGAGGAAAATGGGAATGCCCTGACAAGCTTCTTGAAATGCAGATTCTGAATCCCAAACACAGAGAGTTGGATTTAATATGCAAGTTGAATCTGAGAGCATTTTTGATCACAATGAATTTTGGTAAAGGTGATTCTTGGACCACACTTTGGGAAACTCAGGAGCAGGATGCTACATCAATGCAACACATATTCATACAAATGCATATTGGTACCAACAGTTTGTCTAGAGATTCCTGAGCTAGCCTTATTTCCTCAGAGAGGTCCCTGATGAGCCACCTGAAGAGGATGATGGCAGCTGTGTCTCCCTGTTAATTTAGGGAGAAATTAAATTCTCCTGGGTTTTTTTTTTTCCTCTGCATCTCTGTGATAATTAGGACTTATCCTAATATAATTTTAGAAGTGTATTTTTCTAGCTAGTCTCACATGCCAGGGATTTGATAATGGGGTTTCCAACAACTTTTATAAGTACTACTCTTTGTTTTCTGACATACATAATGGGATGCTTTCTTTAAGTATTTATAAACTGTTCACAAGATTCAATTTTAAAAGCACCCAGCAAAGACTACGTTTTTTCCCACATGAAAGGAAAAGGAAAATAACAGTAATTTCTTCTGTGTTACCTCTTCAAAGTTTTCCCAGTTCCAGTGAGTATAAAGAATTACAAAAGCCTTAATTTCATGAAAATATTTGACAATTATGTGCCTGATCATTTTACCTCAAGCACATAATACAGTATAATGCAGACATAGACAACGTGTGTCTCCATGCATTAACTGTGAGTAAAAATCGAGGGATACTATATGACAGTAAGTTGGTGGTCAGGCAGGCTAGGTTTAAATTCTGCCTTTGCAGCTTTGGACTAGATAACCTTCTTCTCTGTGCCCCAACCTCCTCATCTGTAAAATGATACAACAATGACATCTGTCTTGATTTCTGAGGTTTGTTTGAATTAATAGACGTAACAAGGCTAGACATATAGCCCTCTTTTTTGTTTCTTTACAAAAACTGTTTAGAACATTTCATCCTTAAACAAAAAGTTTTCTCAAATCAGCACTACACTTCTCATATATTATGAGTTTATTTCATAAACCTCATTCCATATAGACACATGAAGCTTAGCTTTAAAAAACAGGTGTCTTAAAGGTATTCTGAAAGATACTCTTTTGAAGTTGAGTCTCAACATGAATATTTATTGGTCTTTAAAAACAGTTCACTACATATGCAAGATCTCAAATTTAAGAACAAATTTAAAAGTAAGGAGAATCTGAATAGTATTATAAATGTGTCTCAAATAATCTCTAAGCAATGAATGAAAATTGAAACATGGTTAAGAAGTATTGCTTTGGACTCCTGAAGCAATGTCACTGTGATGCCATGTTGCTGTCATTGCAAAACATGGATAAGCTTTTAGCAGCTAATGGCTAATTCAATCCTAGTTGAGTTTCTAATGGGCTATTCTCCTGAGGGATTAGTCTCTTCACAGGCAGGACAGGACCCTCTTGGGTCTGTGTCCCAAGGCTCAGTAAATCATCAGCTCTCAGTGCCTCACATGAGTGAATTCCCTAGGGATTCCATTCCCTTGTTCTTTACCCTCGGAGGAATATTCTATATTCAGCTACATATTCTTAGAAGGGCATAGGAAGAAAACTCCCTGTAGCTTTGGTGTTAAGAACTAGAACTTCAGTCAGTGGTCCTGGAGGTTCAGAGATCGTCTCCTGATATATGATTAAGAATGCCCACCAAAGCATAGGAGTTATCAATTTTGTCCCCAATGCCTAACTTGCTTTGGCTTTATTTCATTGCCATGGTATACACTCCTTGTTTCCTCTAGCTTTTGGGAAATGAGGCCACTGATTACATTAAACCTTATCAGGATGATGAGAAAAGCAGGTCCATAAAATATAAGAAGATAAAATAAAACTATCACTAGAAAGAAGTACCGAAATGATGCATTGAAATTCAAGTTCGACCAGTTGAGGCCTCTCTCTGCAGTACTACAAAGATATTCTGCTGAAAGTACAAAACTCCTAGTATACACCCTCTGCCTGGTTGATAGCCTTATTTCTCACCTTTTAAAAATATGAATTGAAGCCGGGCCTGGTGGCGCACGCCTATAATCCCAGCACTTGGGAGCCAGAGGCAGGAGGATCACTGTGAGTTCGAGACCAGCCTGGGATACACAGTGAGTTCCAGGTCAGTCTCAACTACATAATGAGACCCCGTCTCAAAAAAACAAAAAACAAAAACAAAACAAAACAAATATATATATATATATAGAGAGAGAGAGATAGATATAGATATATAGATATATAGATATATAGATATATATATCTATATATATGAATTGTAGAAGTTCAAAAAGTGTGTGAATGGATTACATTTTTCTTTATCCTCTCTGTCCCTATCACCTGGACTCTCTGCTTCCTAAAGGCAGGGATTCTGACTTAACCATCTCTTTTTCTCCAGGACACTGCCCAGTGTTGGAGACGTTTAGGTGTGCAGGGTGCAGAGGGTAGGGAGGGGAAAAGCTGTCAGTGATGATGGTGCCTGACAGCTGGTGCTCTCTTGCAGGGTTACGCTCCCTTGGCATGACCATCACCCAGTGCTATGAAGAAGTCGGCCTACTGCTCCTATTTCTGTCTGTGGGAATTTCTATATTTTCAACTGTTGAATATTTTGCAGAGCAAAGCATTCCTGACACGACCTTCACAAGTGTCCCTTGTGCATGGTGGTGGGCCACCACATCCATGACTACCGTGGGGTATGGGGACATTAGGCCAGACACCACCACAGGAAAAATCGTGGCCTTCATGTGTATATTATCAGGAATCCTTGTCTTGGCCTTGCCAATTGCTATTATTAACGACCGCTTCTCTGCCTGCTACTTCACCTTGAAACTCAAGGAAGCAGCTGCGAGACAGCGGGAAGCTCTGAAGAAGCTCACCAAGAATATAGCCACTGACTCATATATCAGCGTTAACCTGAGAGATGTCTACGCCCGGAGCATCATGGAGATGCTTCGTTTAAAAGGCAGAGAAAGAGCAAGCACAAGGAGCAGCGGGGGAGACGATTTCTGGTTTTAAATTGGCTTGCAGTTGATTTCCAAAAGCTGTGTACAATTAACTAAATTGATAAAGCCCTGCTATGAATGCTTGCATTGCCGCTGAGGAATCTTCTGAGTTCTGCCCACTTTGTATTTGGTGATACATTATTTGGTCCAACGGAATATTTCACACGCCCCACCACAGCAATTACACATTGCTTTTTGACACAGTTGTGTCTCAAAAATGCTCAATTAGCATAAGCAAAAACAGTTACACAATTCACACCTGTCTGAATTGTCGGATCTGAATTAACATTATGACAATACATGCAATATAGTTAAAAGTTTTATGTGTCACTACTTTTAGAAAGATTTTTGCACCACTAATTTTTTAAATGGAAGTTAAACTGCTAGTCCAGAGATATAATAAGTGAACATTAAAGAGTGCTCTGAACATCTTTGCTATTTAAAGATACTCTCTGAGTAAATTACTCCTTTCTCTATCAGTTCCAGTTGCTGAGTGTAACAATTAGCTTTGTAAAATAAAACCAGCCCTACAGATTACAGATTGTGTCCCCACCTTCGACCTGGTGCCAATCTACTCACAAGTGGCCTCCCGTCCTTCTGGCTGCAGGTGGAAGGCCCAAACCCGCTTAGCCTGCAACAGATGAGTTTTCATGAACTGCAGAATTGCACACTTCATTCTCACAACTAAGTATGGTCCGTGAAGTTTAAAGCAGTTTATTTCTCAGTTCTTCATGAAAGTCAGATTAATTTTTAAGACATCTCATAATAGATGTTTTATTAAGTCATGTCTTTAAAATTATGAATATGTAAAAGTGAAGTGAACATCCCAATTTTTGAGCTGGGAATGTTAAATAGTCTTATTTCATAAAAGGAAAATATGTTGAATGACATCATTGGATGAACTTACGGATCCTTAATTTGTTAACAAAAAATATTGTGGATAGATTTCTGGTTGTTGGGGTAAATAACAAATGTTCAAACTTTGCAGGCATTTTTACAACATTTTGACATTCATGATAATAATAAAATTCCTAGGCATTCTGTTACATAATTAAAGCCAAAACCTCTAGAGCTAAGAGTAAGCTCATGATTCCAAATATTGCAGTAAAGGAGATTTTCTAAAGTAAGGAGGATAACAAGGAATGTATCTCTTTGTTCCGTCACTTTAATTGCTTTAATATTTATTTCATCAGTATAGGCAGTCTAACCCCTAAAGAGAAAAAATAGTTCTTGTGGTAAAATCTTTCTTCTTCTGAATAAGATACACATACACATTCATTATAGAAATATATGCACACAAAATATCTGTGACATTAAAATTTCATGAAGAGGAATTTTATGAAAAATGCCTAGAAGGTTACTTGCTGAGGATGGATATTGATAAATCTTGGAAAACACTGTATCAATATATATATCTATAACATATTTTCATCAACTGCATTTAAGATACCCTCTATATTATGAAATACCAAAAAGGGAGGTGCCAATTAATTGTACAATGCTGTGAACTGTAAAATGCAACCAGATTTTGAATGTGTCAAATGTAATATATATCTTTAAGCAGAATGAAATGTTGTGTGTACTACCTTCTTTTTGCTGGTATGCATGCTTAAGCTCTGAAGACTTTTTCATTGGTGGCTTGAGTTTTAGATTATATTTGAAATTACTTTAATCTATTTGAATGGCTTGCACTTCTAAATATTAGATAATATGAATATTAACAAACATCTTTCCTCTTACAAACAGCATGAGTTCTGGATCATGGCACAGTGCCATCGTCCTAGTATAAATCTCATTCATTCTCTCAAGGGGAAGTAAAAATTGGACGCTGAAGAGAAACCAACTCTGGCTTCTCTAGAGGTTTCCATAAAAAGGACAGTTACTTTGAGTCAAACTATCCTCTACCCATCAAAGATTATGTCACCTGATCCTGAAAACATCCCAGTTTTATATATTACTAGTCTTATACTCCTCTAAATATATATTTTATATATTTGATAATTCAAAAGTATTTATTGAGTATCCCTCTGAGTGTTGAGCACTGAAGATTCTTTGTTAAACAAGACTAAGTCCTGATCTTTTGTGTTTAATATTGCATCCAAGGTTGTTGGCAAATGCCAAAACTGAGATACTAAAATCTGTAAATTTGCCTAAATACACACAGCCTACAGGTAGTAAAATCAGAACTGAACATTAGTCTACCTGACTTGAAAAGTGAAACTCCTACACCCACATTATCAATTTTATTCTTCCCGCAAAACCCATAAGTAGGGATCTATTTTATAGACAGGCAAGCCAGCTTCTGGTGGATGGCAACTTTTATGATGCCATAAAATAAACATCAGCTTATTCTCAGCGGTAGAATGGTGCTTTTAAAAAAAATCATTGTGATGACTTAGTTATCAGACAAGAAAAATGCTATAGTTAGAATAATCAATAGTTGGAAATTTTTAAATGAGTAATTTATATATATATATATATATGTGTTTATTTTTGCCTTGTTACAGAGGATCTACACAAATGTGGTTTGTTAGGTATATAAAATTCGTCAAGATGCAGGCATTTCAAAAAATTTCCAAAATATCATTGCTTTGTCAACTTTACTGTTATATGAAATATCCATGTGTTTACTCAGTGAGTGTATATATAAGCAAATCAATTTTAATTTACATGACAAATTGAGGCAGGAACTCTCCCACTTTTATTTGCCATCATTTAAAAAATATTAAACATTCTGCAAAATCTAGGAATTGTTCTAAGAAGATGCTACTTCATTTACTTAGAAATATAAAATGGAATTACTGTCTTTCTCTAAGTTATTTAGAGAACACTAATTTAAAAATTTTTGAATGCACAGAGACAATCTTGAGTACCTCCAAAGAGCAGTTTTAAGAAATTACTGAAGACTAACAGGAAGATCATCACATTCATATTCTGTTTTCCTTCATATATGGAATACACACACACACACACACACACACACACACACACACACACACACACACACACACACACGCAGAATTATTGCACTTACCATTTTAATGAAAAGTAATATTAAACATAATACATAACTCACAAATAGAGTTCAATGGGTAGAAATATCAGTTCTGTGTTTCAATGTGGAATTCTTAGTCTCATTAGAATCTTTTGACCAGCTCATGAAGAAAATATATATGCTTACCCAAGTTATCTAAGCCAAGTGTTTGATTTGGTAAGCTTAGTATTTTGACAAATATTTATGCTGATATATTCCTAACAGGAAAATCTTCTGAAAAGTTAGCCATTAATATCTGACTTACTAATCCTTCAGTTTGGGACCAAGAATTGAAAATTGGTTGGCTGAACAATAACGTGTTTCCATACTTACCTTGATGATTTTCCTTCCCAAAGCACCACCATCCCCAAACACCTCCCCAAGACTTACTGATTTACAGATGAAAAATATCCACAAGGAGAGCTTCACTCCTCAGCCCCAAGGTGGACTGCTTCCATGGTGTATCTTTAGGAGGACTAGAATGACCTGGATGCTCACCATTCTCGTGACCTCACTTCCTTATATTATAAACTATTTCCTGCTCACTCCCCTTTCTTCATTCAATTTGGACTTTCTCTTCCTTTCTGGTAATCAATTGGCAATACTCTAACCCTAATTAAGCCCAATCCAGAGCCAATTTCTGCCTGCTCCTCTAGAACCAATAACGGGGACAGAAAAAACACAATGCATGCTGATTGCTGTCATTTTCCATCCATGCCTCCAAGCTCATTTGGATTCTTCATGCTGCCAGGCAATGATACTGCAATTCCTGAGTCTTTCAAAATAAATGGAAACCTCTAACAGCTCAATTTGATTCCTCTTTCACTCAGAAAATTAAACGATAGAAGAGATTTTCCACAGGAAGAAGCACCCACATTTATCCACCTACCTCCATCTGTGCCTCTTCACTCTGCCTTTCCTCATTACATGGGTTGAACTTTCCAACCCACTCTTTTCTCCAACTCTGGGACAGTGTTTCAGGAAGTCTCTCCTCTTCCCTACCCTACCTTTTCTTCTCTTCTCTCTATTATAAATTCCTGTCAATATACAAACATGATTATTTTTTTTTATCTTAAAACAATTGAAAGAATAAAACCAATGAAGGAAACTCTATCACTCTCCAGAAAACACCAAAATGCCTGCTTTCCTTGGCAAAACCTGACAGAATTTTCTCTACTCATGTCTCCATTTCTATATTCACTGTTTCTTTCCAAGTCTTTCTTGAAAAATCTGCTCAAGTATTATCCCATCTCTCTTTAGCCTATAAAACTGTTGTCAGCAATGGCCCCATGATTGTTAACTCCTCAGTGTTCAGAATTCATATTACTAAATCCTCCATCAATATTTTACAAGGTTAATTGCAGGCTCATCTTTAAAACAGTCCCTTGCCTTGACTTCCATTCTTCACACTCTCTTAACTTTGCCTGTACTTCATTGCTTTGCTGGTTGAGGTGGTCAATCAGTATCTAATCTGCATCCATTTCTGCTCTTTATTTATACCGCTCTCTTGGTAAAATAACCTGACTTCATGACTTAAATATTACTGATACTTGGTCAACTCCCAAATTTGTATGTCTATTTCTATTTCCATTCACTTTCTGCAGCTATTCAACAAATGTCCAATAAAAAAAAATCCCATAATTACTACATCCAATCTCAAATCATTATCAGCATTTTGCCAAAACTCTTAAATTTAAGTCCTCCATAAAGGAGACCAAAGCACACAATTTTTGCAATACTGATTATTTGCAAGATATTTAATGTAGAATGAAAAGCCTGTGAATAATTACAGAAGAAGAAGAAGAAGAAGAAGAAGAAGAAGAAGAAGAAGAAGAAGAAGAAGAAGAAGAAGAAGAAGAAGAAGAAGAAGAAGAAGAAGAAGAAGAAGAAGAAGAAGAAGAAGAAGGAAGGAAGAAGAAGAAGGAGGAGGAGGAGGAAGAGGAAAAAGAAGAAGGAGGAGGAGGAGGAAGAGGAAAAAGAAGAAGAAGAAGAAGAAGAAGAAGGAGAAGGAGGAGGAGGAGGAGGAGGAAGAGGAAAAAGGAGAAGAATCTACACAAGGTAAAGTGTAAAGCAAAACTTCTGATCTGGATGCAGACCTGACAGCTCTGAAGAAGAAGGGCAGAAATGTTGGCTAAGAAGTGTCTTTAAAGCCCAGTTCTAAGCCATTTTCATCATGGTGATGGAGAGGCACTGAGTGCAAGCAGCCCATTAAGTATCCTGTTGCTGTTCTGGAGAATCTCAGGCTCTCAATCAATCACACTCCCTCAGGAGGGGTCTGGGCAATGCATTTTCCTTGACATAGTCCATCTATGTCACCACATGTGTCTGTTTCTCCTCGTAAGTTTATGGGTGTCCCTCCTTATATC